TTACACAGTCTCTCCCTGTCACACTTAAACAGGGGATCAGTAGGAACACCTGTCTGTTATGGCAAAAAGTCTTGTGGAATAAGTCAAAGATTCATTTCCCTGAGCTTTAGAATGTTGGGTACACACATATATGCAGGTCAACTGGGAGTTAAAGTCTTATATTTTACAAGTAAGGTGTAAGTTTTCTTCAGATTTACTCCAAAACAAACCACAGTATTACACATGAGTGAATTACACAAGAAAATGTATTTTTTATTGCCCGTCTCCTCATTTGCAATCAGTATATGAAACAAAACATGTATGTTGCAAACATTGCTTCCTTTTATGGTTCTTTTTTCTTTGAAGTAAAACACACTTTTCTCTCTTCCACATACAAATCATAATAAGCAAGTAGGTCCTGTATGAATGCGCTTTTGTTCAAAAGTGACATTAAGCAGGAGAACATACCTCTGATATTCTGAAAAACCTGCAGCATTCTCTTCTTTCTGCAGCATGGATGCTACCATCTTTGCAGCAATTAATCAGAATGAGGTGCAGCTGTGTTGGTCTGCCTCTTACTGCTCAGAGTTCAGAAACAGAGTCTGGGTCACTAAAGTGTGTTTCAACAGGTGAGTTGTAGCCTATTTATTTTTATGTATTGGAAACCTATGGTATTAAAAATATATTTTAGAAACTTCTGTTCTTAACTTATGTTGCTCATGCCTGAAGTGCTGAATGACCAATCTGTAAATTTAATCTCCATACGCTTTTATTAGACGAGTTTCCTCTTGTACAAAAAATGTGTTTGGTATCTATCAGTGTGTTTTGCTTCTGTATGCTATGTTCTGCATGTACATTCAGGATCCAGTGGGAGTCCACACTGACAACAAAGACTATAAATAATGGCGTGAACTTATTTTCAGACTCAACAGCTGGTTACAAGACTTCAAGCATGGACAGATGAGAAACTGGCAGCATTAACTCCTCTCAAGTTGATCTTACAAGTGACTCTAAATCATGACAAATTCAAAATAGTTATTTTCATCCGATTTTTTTCTGAACATAAAACAACAATGCTCCAACAGCCAAATCATCTATTTTAAAAGGTCCCACAGATATTCAGATTATAATATGAAAGACTTGGTAACGACAACAAAATTCAAACTCAGTGGCATGATGAGAAATAACTGAAAATTTCAGGCTTCTTTCTTTTTTAATTCCTGAGATATTGTTTTTCAAATATAGCCTCAAATGTTACTGAAAGAAAAAAAGTGCTAAAATTTTTATAAATATTCATATTTTATGTTATAAAAAGCGAGATGGCTGAGCAGAAGTTTGATTATTTAAAAGTATCTAAAATAAAAATATAGAAATATTTTAAAATATTTTTCTTTTGTCCGTTTTGATTTATTATTTCTTCATTCCACGATTTTTTTTCTTTTATTTATTCATTAATTTTTAATCGCATCACCCTTAATTTGTAGCAATATTGTTAAACTGACGTTAATGCCAATAAAGCACATTGAATTAAATCGAATTGTGTCATGAACTAAACTTTGGCGACATCTGGTGGTGATCAGCCGGAAGTGCATCTTCTGACTCGATCCCGCCCCTTATTTACGTCACCCGACGTAACCAGGAAGTCTTCTGAAACCAAAGCGGCATCATGGCAGAGTACACAGACGCACGTGAGTTTTTGTAAATATTAAAACGAAACCCTCAAAACTGCAGCTTTTCAGAAACGAAGACGCTTATTTTGTCTCGCTGTGATTCCTGTGGTGGATCAAAGTCATGAATTTAGTCTTTATTCGCGTTAAACAATGCGTTAGCGGCTGTATAACGGCTGCAACGTTCATGCTAGGAGTGTAATTAGCTGCCAAAGTAGCTCCATTCAGCTGTAATGATTGGGTTTCCTGTTGACAGACTGTGATGGAGCTCCAGAGGACATGCCTGAGCTCTCTGATGAGGAAGACAACGAGGATGATGGAGAGCAGTGGCAGTGGATGGAGGAGGAGGACAGTCAGCCGGTTACCTGTCTGTTCTGTGACAGGTGAGGTTGTCACTCACTGAACACAGGAAACTCAGATGTATACAACCAGAGTCAGCTGGTACCTCCTTGTATTCAGCCCCCTTCATTCATTTGAGTCAGTAACAGAGACATAAACTGTGTAAAAGTTTTCAAACTTTATCACTGAAGTGTTCTTGTGTGCATGAAAATAGCTAATCCTAATAAAAAGGTGCCCTGACAGCTCTAATGGAGCTCAGGATTCATCCAGAAAACCTTTAGAACGAGTAGTTTTTGCTGTAAAAAACCTGGAATGTGTGTATAACAACTGGATTTTGAGTGTGCAGAAAAACACAGAACATAATTTACCATCAGATGCCATGTTAATCAAGCGCTTGTTGTTTCTGGTGCTGTGTGATGCTGCAGGTTTTTATTCTAGTCAGAGGAAAGAATGTGTCCTGTATGGGACTTTAGTATGTGCTAATGTTTTTATTATATACTAACGTGACCTTGTTGTTTCAGAAATTAATTTAACATGCTTCATATCTGCCTGATACACATTAACGGCTGTGTTTTGACAGACATGTCCAGGTCCGTCAGCGTGACAAACTGCACGTTAAATAAGTGTAGTAGACAGCTGATGATGTGAGGGAGGAGTAAAACAAACCAACTACATCACTGTTGATTTGTGGTGTTGCAGACGTCTGTGTGTGAGCACATCTGCTGACTGAAGACACACAAACTGAGGCGATTGAACTCTGTATTATGGATCAAACTTGGTGCAGAAATGTGAAGAAAAGTGCTGCTCATTGTAGAATGTAACTTTACTGCCTGTAATATATCTATGAGCTGCATGCGGGTTGTAATGTGCAGCACTGTCTGCTCTCTCTGAGGCTCCACATGAAGTTGCTCTCTGTTCCGTTAGTTTTTAGGAGCAGGAATATGCAGAGTTCTGCTGTTAAGGAACCAGTGGAGACCGTGTGGACCTACAGTACAGAGCTAAAGCTTTGGGACTGGGTTGCTGTCGCTTAATGGGTGCAACCAAGTGTATAATCGTAAGGGGGTGTCATACGCTTAAGTTTTCCTTAATTCATGGAAATAAATAGAAATAACAACAGAAAACTCTATCGACAGGGTTCATAACAGGAGGACATATCGAACATGTTTTCTACTTTAATAGTTAGTTCAGTGTTTGTATTAGTTGGGGAGACACGACCCCCACAGAGAATGTGTAGTTATGCTCAGGTCAATAACAGGTTTACAACCATCACGTTCTATATGGTTATGACATAAAAACGTCTGGAGTTTGTGGCAGAGCCAAAAAGGTTTCAAACTAAGCTGAATATTCATATTCTATGTAGCCCTCAATAGATAAAACCATTTCCTAAGCTGTTGTTAAACTCAGTCCATGGAGCTTGGATGGTGTTTCAGACACAGATTTAGTTTGAATTTTGTGGTGGACACATCAGGCAGGAGACTGGACGCTCGTCTCCAGGAAACTGTGTGTTGAACACTTACATTCCTGCATTCTGGTAAATTTTTATGCACCAGTTAATCGATTTCAGCATCAATTTCTGGTTATAAGCGCTTTCTTTATATATATAATGTAATATTTTATTTTTAAACAGCTGTCCTTCCTGTGTCCTTCCCCTCAGGTCGCTGAGCTCCGTAGCAGAGACCCTGCAGCACTGCACAGCTGAGCACCAGGTCAACCTTGTAGACGTAATAAGAAAACACAGTAAGTAGGAAGTGGTTGTCTTTACAGAAGAACCAGAACCATTATTCAGTTTTGTTGAAATGACTCATCCTTCTTTTCTGATTAGGTTTAGACGACTACGGTTACATAAAAATGATCAACTTCATACGTTCAACGGTAAGTAGTGTATAAATGAGATTAAACTTAATGCTAAAATGTGATGTAGCTAATATTCACACCCTTTACGTACTCTGTAATATCTTAATATATCACATGTTGTAAATAGTGCAGACTGTTGATATGTTATACAAAAAAACATCAGAAAATATCAGCTGAAAGACAGCCAAGTGATTGCATTACAGCTTTAAGCTTTTTTTTTTTTACAAGTAAAATAGAGCTGATATAATGTTTTGTACGTATATTCTTGTGTACAGAAATGTGATGCATCCTGTCTAACTGGGCTGCCGGATGCTCCGTTGCCGTGGGAGAGCGAAGACTTCCTGCGACCTGTTCTACAGGACGACCCGCTGCTGCAAACAGGTACACAAAATCCTACAAGTTCTATGTTCACAGATTTTAGCTTTTAATTCCTGAGTAGCAATATAAACAGATATGTCTGCAATGTTAGACTGTCTTAGCTCACTGACGCCTTATAAGTAAATACAGTCCAGTTTTTTATCTGACTGCTGTATTGATGTTCGATCCAGTGAAGAATCTGCTAATGTGACGTCTAACGCTACAAGATCACCAACAAAAATATGGCACATTTTCTAACATGTTCTAACAGAGGAGCAATAAGGATGCTGGAAGATCAAATGGGATGACCCATGATTCTTCCATGCTGTTCTCCAGTATTTCTCCATGGCTACACTGAGCATGTAACATATGTGGACCATTAGCCGAGCGGCTGGTGCATCACTCGGCTTCCACTGTAATCAATAAAACCGGCTGCACCAGATGTGAGAGCAGCGCCGAGGTGGTGCATCTGTGCACGTGTAGATCAACTAAGCAAATGTGAAAGTAGACCCTTTTTGACAGAAATGGGTGATGAGGTGTCCATGTGTTTTTTAAATTTAAACTTCCCTCTGAAGCCCAATAGCTACTGGTGGGTTATCTTTATAAAACTGCCCATAGTACACCATTTATCAGAGCCAGAAACTGAACACACACAGAGAATTGTTGGAGTTTAAAATTTCTGGTGGCCCTAGTCTTGAACTACAAATCTGTGGTGTGACATTCGATTGGGAAACTTAACCCAATCAAAGTTTAAAATCCTGTTTTATCAATATCACTTCATTCTTTATGTCTGATTTAAAAAATAAATAAATAAATCACTGTTCGTGTTGATAAGATTCTGTAAAAATCTAAATATTTTGTACCTGTTGATGCAACAAAAAGACATTAGTGATCGGTTATGTGGCAAATATTCAGGGAGTTTTTGGCTCACAGAGCATATAGATGATGCTACGGAAGCGAATTAAAAATGTAAGTAGTAAAATATCTATGGTATGTTGAGTCACATTATTTTTGTTAAGTATTGTTTACATCCAGAAATGAATGAAATTAAAACTTTGCTTTTTTTTAATGATTTGTGGCACTATAATTGTGTCATACTGCTCAAAAGACATTTTTGTGTTCTCTCTGCTTCTATTGGTTTTGTTTTCATAGAGGTTCAGGACTTTATATTGCAGTGAAGAATGTGAGAGGAGCAGAAAATGCCCAGAAACTGCTTGGAGTTTAGGTGGTTAAACTAGCAGTCTGCAGAAGATGACAACCTTGTCTGCATCTATTTAGCCAGCATCAGATGGTGGTTGCTTTACTTTATCCCTTAAAGAGCGTGCTTCAGTCTGTTCGTGTTAACTTACACATCATACACAAGCTCAGAGAAAGATGTGGAAGTTTCACATCGTTGTGCTGAATCCAGAAACTAAAGATGCAACAGAATCAAAACAAGAGACAATAAACAGATACTTTCCACAGACTGTCTGCTCCGTGAACGGCCCACATATGTTAAACATTTAAAGAAACCAAAGAATAAATCTGCCCTAAGTTTACTACTGAAGTGAAAGGAAAGTACTTGATTGTCATTTCACAGTTTTCACAACATTAACAGTTTTCTTTTAATCCTCTGACGTTCTTCTTTTTGTGATTACATCTCCTGGATGTTTCAGTAGCTGTGCTACGAGTCAGACCACAGAGGACTCGAGATGGTGTTGACTGATAATGCTCCATTGATATTTGGACCGTGCACTTGCTCTGTGCTTTGCTGTATCACTTGTACAAAAAGTGAATGTTTTCTGTCTTTACAGGAATAAAACAAACACCAAACTAAAGCAGCTCCCATTCTTGTATGTTAGTTATTGCTAGCTACAGGCCTGACTGATTTTTATTGGTTGCATTTTGTTAAAACCCACTGGAGACTTTTAAAACTTCTCCAACGACTGAATTACAGAAAGTAGGAGGATTCATTTCACTTCACTGCATTCCAGATCTTTTAATTTTACCCACAAAAAAAGCTGCTTTTTAAAATATAAACGTCTCCCCCTCTGTGTTTCCATCAGACCCGGAGGAGCTCTGTAGCAGCGAGGGGTCGTGCTCGTCGTCTGGACCTCAGCCCCATGATGCATTGGTGCGCAGGGCTCAGGCTGCCGAGGAAAGAGCTTGTCGTTCAGAGGAGGCGCTGGCCAGAGCCATGGACGACCTGCACAAACTCAAGTTAGTCACTTGTTAGTGATTGGCAAGAAATGAACTAACAGGACAACTATTTTTCATCAACGCTGGATTGATTTTTTTCTTAATTTTTCTGTTCTTGAGAGCTCCTACTGTACATAGTGTGAGGATTTGCTCCTGCATTACCCTCCCGGGGCCAGCAGGGGGACACAGTGAACTCGGTATTGCAGAAACATTAACTAGAGTACCTTGTGGAAGAAGTTTGGAGGAAGGGGAAAGATAAAAAAGAAAAAAGGGAAGGGAAAATTCCACTGCAGCATTGGAGGTTAAAGTGAGGAGGGGAGGTAGGTAGGGGGCAATAAGGGAAAATTACAGAAAGAGTGAGGATGGGGAGGAGGGGGGGATGTGGAAGAGAGTTAGAAAGATGAATGCCTCCCATCTCCTCCATTTACTGCTTCGTCCTGCGTGAAGGCTGTGTGTGCTTTCTACTTTCTGGTCGCTGCTTTCGTCCTACGTCCTAATATAAGAAGTTAACCGCAGCTCTGTCTGGTGTTCTTTCAGGCTGCTGGCTCAGGGCTTGGTGCTGAATGCAGAAACGAGCAAACCTGGCAACCTGGGGACCGTGGCCGAGCTCCGCGAGGACGAGGACGAGGCCTACTTTAGCTCCTACGGACATTACGGCATCCACGAGGAGATGCTGAAGGTCTGAGTTGTAAAAACACACACACACACACACACACACACACACACACACACACTGAGCAGATCTGCAGCTTTCGTTACAGTCTTGTGAGTCGTTTTCCGCAGAAGTATCTACAAAGTGAAGGCAGGTTCATCAGCGGCTGGAAGACTCTGATGTAAATGAAAGTGATCATCTTTTTTCATTTTTCTCAAAAGTGACAAGTCAGCAGTAGGCGCTCATGTGAAACAGCGCACGGATGGTCGAAACCCGGAAATTAATTTTTACACTCCTTAAACCTGAAAGTGTCAGCAAGCTGATGGGTGTGTGTGCGGTTCCGCTCTCTCTCCCTCTCTCCACCCTTTCCTCTTCTACTCACCGCAGTGCTCAGACTTGTTCCTTGTCGGCCGTCCTGATTGGTGCTTAGCGTTGTTAAGTTTTGCGTCATGTGTGTGTGCGTCAGGCTGTAAAAACTCCATCAGAGCCTCCGGAGGGGGCCGACAACACGTGACGGAGGCTTTGCGGTAGAATGTGGTCAAGAGTGTGACGGGTCGGCGTGAAGCGCATCACCTATGACGCAGTCTGTGCACGAAAGAAAACATTTAAAACAGAGTGACGTGGCTTCTGAGTTCTCTCAGTTAGATGTTAGTTTCTTACAAATAAAATGAATCTTTAATTCATTACTGACGGTACAAGTTTATTAAACAAATAAAATCTTTACGATGAAGTACACCTGCTTTACTTTCCATCAGCTTTGGTTTTTGGTCAAGACTTTTGCTGTTCAAATTGAGGCTGAATAATTTTATTTTTAAACATATTTTTGTGCAGAAATTTCGGCTTCAGGTCAGTACATTTTCTACCTGCCAGAGCTGAACTTTTATTTGCAGCCTTCAGTTTACAGTAAAATGTAAGTGTTTGATCTGCAGGTCAAACCTTGTAAGCACTGCCTGATCCATAAGTCTGTAAGCCTCATCGAAGATTTATTATAACCAGAAGGAAACTATATTTATTTTGAAGTTGCATCTTGGAAAAGTGTCTGTATTTTAGCTCCTCACACGTCAGATTTTTAATGATGCCGTAGCTGGTGTGTTTATTTTTTTGGAAAATCACTTCATGATGTGGGAAAAAAACTCCTAAAGCATCCTAAACTAGCATCAATAACTAAATTTGACCAATATGTTGTTGTCAGGGTGTGATGCTGTTTGTTTAAAAACTAAAGTTCACTTTAGACATGTGCCAGTGAGGTTGTGGCTTGTTTTAGTTCAGCTACATTATTCAACTATGACTGAATAACAATCAGACTGACTTCATGAGTAGTTTACCATGTTGCATCTAATTTATGTACAAAAAGAGCATTTTAAAACTCCTCCTCTAAAAGATCATGCCTCCGTATCTTGTCACCAGTCCAATGGCAGACAGTGAGCCAACAGTCTAATTAAGCCATTTTTAAAAATAAATTAGCCCGACTTTGGAGTCCGACGCTGATGTAGTCCAGCATTAATAGTGATGAATGAGCTAAACAGGCATAAATAAACGCTTTAAATAAGTCATTTTTATTGTGTTATTATGACCTTTTCAACTGCTTTAAAATAATATCCATAGAAAGAATATTTTGCTGCCTTTCCATCCTTACTGCTAAACATATAGACTAGACAGGAACGTTAGTTAATCCTCTGTGCTGCTCAAAGGCCGGCGGCAGCTACCGGAAACTTTTAAGGTGGAATCTTTTCATGCACGAGTTTACAGCTTGAATCAATAAGCACGTCTGAAATGCCAATAGGACAACTCTGATTATCTGCTTTTATTGGCCGTCTTGCTTGACATTTGCTTTAGTGATGATTGGATCATTTAGTGCTTTAAAAAAGTGAATAAATTTCAGTATATTATGCAATCTGTAAACAGTGTTTTCTCACTTGATGGGGGAAAAAAAGAGGCAGGACATTGTTTTGGTGCACTCTGGCTGCAATACATTTATGTGTTGTGGATGTTGGTTTGTGTAAAATTGTGATAAAGCATAAATTTACTGGTCTTAATGGTTCCCTCATAGATGAATAATAAAAGTATTGAAGCTGTTCCATCAGAGAGAAATGACTCTTTGGTTGTCACATCCAAAACTGCAAATGTTGAAAAATGTTCTTTTTTTTTTGCAAATATCTTACAAAAGCAAAAGTCCAGATTCCTCCACGTTTCCACTGTACCTTGCACTGAAGCATCTTACTGTAATTTTAATAGATTCTGTAGCTTTTCCCCCCAGAGAGCAGCAGCTGGGATTTGTGGCCACGTTTGATTGGCAGGTTAATTAGCGAGTCCTGACCTGACCTCTGCTAGGAAAATACCACAGTCCCTTCCAGTTGTATTTATCTCATGGATTTGCCCTAAAATTTCCTCGAATCCACCACAGTCTGTCATGATCGGCTGTTATCTGCGCCTGTTTGGAAAAAGCTTTACATGCTACGTTTTGAGATTTATTTTTTTATATTTTCCCCCCATGTGGGGATACAAGTAGGCCAAGTCAGCTTTAGATCACAACATAAGCATCCCAATACAAGAAGTCAAACAGCTTGTAGAACACATATTATCACGGCCATAGCTTTTATTTCAATATTTCCTGCACTCTGGTGAATTTTTATGCACCAAATTGTGCCTTAGTGCATTGATTTTTGTTGTAAATGTCTTAATTTATGTAATAAAAAAGCCTAAAATTCAGGAAGCAGATGACAGTTCAGGATGTAATGGAATATATATGGATGTAATTAAATTTTACTGCAATAGATTAATTGGTTGTATGAGCTCATAAGTCATATTTTGAGAGGCCTGGCGTTGCTGCATCTGTTTCCAAAAAAACTCTCGTATTTTTATTGGAACATATCTCCTGCACCCTCAAGAGCAGGTGATGATCGGTATTGTTTTCAGTGTGTTGTTCTTCATTTTCAAATATTCTCTCCACAGGACAAAGTGCGCACAGAGAGCTACCGCGACTTCATGTACCGCAACCCCGAAGTGTTCAGAGAAAAGGTGAGCCTGCCCGACAAATGCAGCTGCACATGCACGCATGAATGTACAGCAACATACAGCGAGGCCCATTAACCGGAGCGGACGTGTGCATTTTCCAGAAAAGACATTAAAAAGGCGATGGCGTCCGATTTAAATGACGGCGTGACTTTATTAGCGCCTCAAATGTCGACTGCACAGTCCAGATAACAGACACGCAATCTGCCGCCAAAACCCATAACGCCCCCCTCCCTCAAAACCTTTTCCGACTCGACCTCCCCATCCTTCTCTTTTCCATCGCCTTTACTTGCAGCAGGCACTGGCCTGTATCATGACCATCCATTACATGGGTGGCTGCTGGTTAGTGCTGGGATGAGGCTGTAGCGCAGGGAGGCAGGTTGTGGTGATGGGAACGTACATTATCGCTGTCAGGTCGAAGCAGTCGCCACAGAGGCTGGCATCTCCTTCCACAGTAACCGGGAGACGGGAAACAAAGCAGGTTATTCTTGTTTCGGGTGGAGACGGAGGAAAGAGTTGTGTCGTGTCAGCAGCGTGTTGGCGACCCTCTGTGAACCCATAAAGACAGCAGGGAGCTGCCTTAAATAGAGACACAGATGAACGCAGTGTTACATATAGACGCTTGTACGCGAGCTGCAGCCACGTCGCGCTCATTTAACAGCAGTCGGAGGCCAAGATGAACAAATTAAGTGCAACCTATGGAAACCTGAAATAGAGGGGATTAAAAATGTGTGACAACAGTGGCGAAAGGAAAGAATTGACTTGGAGAAACTGGGAATTTTAGAAGGAGTTTGATGAAATTGCTGCTCATGATACCAAACATACGCAACATTAACATGCATAGCTAGTGTTAATACTACTGCTGTCACAATCAGGAGCTTTTACTTATCAAACAAACCATTGTGATTAACAGTTAAATGATCTTTTTCAGTTTATTTTATGCCTTTATTAGCTTTCGATTAATGTATTAGCGCTTTTGGACACAATCTTTTTGCTGCAAATCCAACTAATTTGCCTCCTCCAAGATACTGGGCTCTCTCAGTTCAATTGACTTAAAATCAAAATGTGCACTTAGTGATGCTGTGGTGTTTGATTTTAGAACTAAACCCATGATGTTAATGTCAATAGCTGCTTATCGGTCAAATATTCAAAGTTAGGTTGTTGCCATTCAGCCATAGCAGAGGAAGGGGCTGCAAACTGTGGAAAACAATGTGGATAAACATGATGTTTCTGTATATTTATTCCAACTGTTTTTAAAATGATCGTAACAGTTGTGCAGAAATTATTGCAATCAGCTCAGATCAAATCAAATCAAAGTGTTTATTGTCATGTCAGATTACTGTGATTATGTAATAATTGTGACAGGCTTAGTTAATTCAGACTAGGAAGGTGTATCAGCTTGAGGTAAGCTGGTAGTTGAGGCCTCTGCAGTCCTTTCTTGTTTCCGTTTATTCACTTTTTAACAAAGTACAAATCACAAAAACAAGAAGAAAGGTTTATTTATTGAACCTATCGTTTTAGAAAAATTGAAAACCTTTGAATTACCATTTACAACATTTTCCCAACTGTCCACAGGTGTTAACCAAAAACATAGCAACTCTACATACTATAGATATTCTGAATTAGTTTCCATACTTTCTGTTTTGTGTGAACACATCCTGCAGTTCAACCAAGTTCAGCCCAAAAAGTCCCTGAATTTTTGTCACAAGGCTGTCGGTCGTACCTGAGTCACTAATGACTTCACAGTTGTGTTGAGCAGTGCAGAATTTTTTGTATTTTACAGAATCTGTTTCGAGGAAGCAGTTTGTTTTTGGCGAAATTTTAAATAAGATGTAGAATAAAGTGATTTTAAGGCAGCATCATAATTTTAAGCTTAGATTTGGACTTTTCAGATAGAACAAGAAGTTACAAATTAACAGTTCAAAGACCTTCAGAAAGTTTAATAGCTAATTAATCTTTATGTTTTTACAATTTTTGACAAATGGTGTAATTTTGGCCCTTTATTTGACTGTAGTATGCTCTTCAAACACACCGGGGAATTTAGGGATTCAGTAGGTTTAGGAATCATATTTAAAACCTGAGATTTCATCGCCGCCTGCTGCTAATTTCTAACACCCGATACTGTACCTCTATTAAACTGCTCCCCTCTTTCTCTGCAGGTGGTGCTCGATGTGGGCTGCGGAACCGGAATACTGTCCATGTTTGCTGCCAGAGCCGGAGCCAAAAAGGTCATAGCGGTCGACCAATCAGAAATCATCTATCAGGCCATGGACATCGTCAGGTGAGACACACAGACTGCAGAAAGCTGGCATTTGTGGTGCTCACTGCCATGAAAAAAAAATCACATTTTTAAAACTGTGACCTGCAAGTCAGAACTAAACTTGTGAGCAGATAAGTTCCTACCCTCCTGTCAGTCACCCTCCACTTGCATGTCATCCTTTGAGAGGTGAGAGAGTAGAACGCAGCAGAAGATTGTGGGAGTAGAGGTCTGCGTGACCTCCAGCTACCTTTTATTTGTTGCAGCTGGTTGACTTCAATAGAGCTGCTGTCAGTCGCGCGGCCGTAATGTACGTTATTTACACCCGGCGGTCCGACTGCCTCACCTCTCGCCTCTTCTCCCCCTGCAGCAGCTGCAGTCCGAGGCCGAGCGCCGTCGCACCCGTCGCATGCAAACATGTAGATGAACCCCCCGTCGGGACCTTTTTAATACAGGCCGCAGTCCAATTTCATGTGCGGCGTGTTTCCAGTTTTCCAGCGGCTGGTTCTCCACAGTGGAGTCCATTTACCGCCACCGGAGCCCCGGCCGCGCCCCGCGTCTACCTGCAGCCGCCATCACACCCCTGCCTCTAAAATGCATTTTTGAGTTAGGGGCCATTATGACTGCTATTATTACCGTTATGTAAGAGAGTGTCGTATAAGCAAAACAACGGGGTTTGCTGAAGGAAAAGGACATTTTAATTTTACAGCCCACTGACTCGCTGTTGGGGTGTGTGTGTTGGCATGCAGGCGGCGTCGCAGGTTCGCCAGCGGTGAAGACTCAGCTAAAGAAAGATGTTGTAATTCACCCTCCACTCCACCCCCTTAACTCGCTCACACATGTAGCCACACACAGAAACAGAAAGACACACAGACTCCACCCTTGGGTCCTTTTTTTATATATAAAAAAAAAATCTACTGCTGCCTTGAGTTGTGGTTTTAAAAGCTGTGACTCCTGCACGTTTCTGTGCACACGCAGCCGGGTTGTCCGTCATTTCGCCCCGATGTTAATATCGGGGTTGTAATTAAAGTGGCTCCTGTTGGTTGGGCAGGAGCATCCATCTCCCGTCTCCACGCCGTCGCCAAAGTTTAAATGAAAAGCTCGCTGTGACTTCCTTCTTTCCTTCACAGTCACTTCCTTAATGGATAATGTCTAAATACTTCTTTAAAAAAAAAAAAAAAACGGCTGGAATTGATGGATTATCTGCTGGAACGCTCTGCAGTGAGACAACAAAGCGGAAAAATACTCGATATTTTTTTTGCAGATGAGGGACATCCTGATGTTAATGGTGTTAAAACGTGAAGACGGACTATCCGTTTGTAGATGTTTATCATTTGGTTAAAGGATGCTGATTCGCATTTTACTACTCAGTAACTCAGTATGAGTAATTCAGGACATCTTACTAAAGTTTGTATCATTCAATATCCAGAAAATATGATTAAAATACATATTGTCTTCTTTTAAAAAATCACCAAAATGACGGAGCGAGAAACTGTTAAAACAGAAATATTTTATGAATTTTCAGTTTTCTTGCAGCTCTTGAACTAATTGTGTATGATGTGCAGTTCAGTTTGAAAAAGTAACCAAATTTTTAAGTTAAAATCATGATGTATCCTCAAAATTACGCTGTTTTACGTGCTCATTTAAATATTTAGCCCAAATTAACTGTTGCAACAACCGGATTCTGTACAATAAAAACGATTCTGTGCTTCTCAGTACCATTGAGAATGGTTTACAGTTAACAGAGAAAGTTGTCAGCAAGTTGTCGGAAGATGCATTCAGCATGGTGAGACATCCGTCTAGAGTTGATGTGCAGAGTTGTGTGAAAACATATTGTTTTTAGAGGGAGTAAAACTTAAAAATCTATACTAGTCGTATATAGAGCCACCGTTTTTTTTTTTTTCACAGTGCTGGTAATATCTGTAGGCATTTGGTAAAATGTTCCACGTCTTTTAAGTCACGTGATTTAACGTATTATTATGTAGTTTTAAGTCCCAAAAGACATTGTTGATTTCTACTTCTAGCCATGTGGTGCCCACAGTGAGTAAAAAAGTGACAGTAACAAACATCTAGAAACTGCTCGGAGTTCAGAGGGTTAATCTTTGTTTCATTTTTTTATTTATGTGACAGGTCCGGGTTACATATATATAAACTAGGGATGCACGGTATCGGCATCATCATCATCAGAAAGGCTTTAAAATAAAGTATCGTCATCAGCTTCAACTGACCAACAGCAGAGAAATAACACCTGCCAGGCTAAAAGTTTTTATGTTATTTTATTTTTATTTTTTACATAAAAAAGACGTAGCTTGTTACATGCAAGTTTGAGTAGTTTTCTTATTTACCAAAGCGAATGCGTACATTTTAAAAGCAGTGCGTTGTATACATGCTCCCGTCAGTGGGTCTTTACAATAAGAGAAGGCAAGTTGATGTCAAAGTGAACTTTTTTGCCAGTTCCTCTGCATGTGCAGGACATACAGAGAACTTGAAATGCCGTTTCTCATGGTCCTACAGTGCACAAAAAATCTAAAGAAACTATGTAAAAAAAATATGTGCAACAGCCAAAATTTTAAGCGAAATATCATCAAAAATCCAAATCATGCATCCTTAATACAAACACATTTGGCAGCTAAATTGATTGCACATCTAGTGAGAGAGGGAAGCTAAATTTTATGACAGATTCTACATTTTACACCAAACACTGGCTTCCGATGGTGAAACGTACAACCTCCCTCCTCTCCCTCCTCTTCTCTCACACCTACAGAGCTGCACAGATACCGACTCTCTCCCCAGAGTCCTGACATTGTCCTCTAAATTACCCCAATAATGAGATTACAGTGTTTCCCTCTCGTGAAAGGTGGGGGAGGCGGCGGGTCGGGGGTGAGGGCTGTGTGCGGGGAGGTGGGGTGTTGGATTCTGGGAGAAGGTGATAGCAGCGGTGGAAGAGCAGCTGAGAGGGGAGAGACAGTTCAAGATAAGGATCGCTGCTACAGAAATGCACTCTGGGCCGCTGTGAGTAATTGTTCTGTCCTCTGTAACATTAGCTGTCATGATAATGGAATATTCACAGAGATTGATACCCAAACTGGCTGCTCCGAAAGGGAGGATCATTTAAACAGCAGCACTGATCTTACAGTCCCTACCTGAGCCTGCACAAGCCACGCTTACAGTTTCCTCCTTTTCACCTCCCTACACGGACCTGAACAGACTGGAAGTACAGGGAGCAGAGGACAGAGTGGAAATGACTCAAACATGTGGGATTGTTTGGACACATATCTACATGTATACTGTACGTTATCCATTTGGTAAAGTTTGCTATTGTGACGGATGTTCCACCTTCATTGATTTTCACTTTTACACCTGTTGTTCTGTTCATTGAGACAAACAAAGTTAATGCTTTTTAGCTCTGGTCTTGTTTGTGTTAAAATCACTTTCCATGAACGAACCAAGAGGAGTTAATATGAAGCCATGCAGACTCACTCACTTTTTGGTGATGTCATCCTGCATCGTCAGCACCAACATGAGGACCCACGAGAGAAAATCTAACTCCAGTGACTGACAGCAGATCAACTATAATCATATTTATGCTCTCTGGTAGCTGATTATTGGTATTATTAGTGTTGTTAAGATGCAAATTGATCACATGTTATGAAAAATGACAAACAAGACAGACCACAGAAGCACAAACATTTCATTGATCACCATCATCAACCATGTTTGCAAATGATTTCCCTTTTCCACGTGGGCTTTCTGTACAGTTAACAAAAAGCAGATGGATCCATTATTAGCTTCCCTTTCTGAGAAGTTAAAAAATCACACATCTTCTATCAGTAAAATACTGTGAGTTGGTCAGTTTGCCTTCAGACCACAAACAAACTGCACCCACTTGAAAGTAGACAGAGATTATCTTTACTAAAATCTTGTCTTCTTGAGCAGGTAATTTGGTTCATACCACGCTTCACCTGACAGCTTTGGGCGAATCGACCTGAGTTGATTTTAATTGAACAAGAGTGAAGATTTATGGAGCAAAGATGGGAGGGAGGGGGGGCTTAAAGATGCACTCATCATGATTGTTATATTAATATAAGATCAAATTGGAATGTGAAAAGGGCTGCTTTGTTGGTGAACCCAAGAAGAAAAATGATCAGACTCCCTGTGAAAGGATGAAAATGTTTAATTTTTAGTGTCTTGTTTGGGTTTTACAGCTTCACTTTTTGCTTCACTGTCAGTTTGTAGAAACCTGAAAGAGTTAAAAGGAGATTTAATAATGGACCGAAAATTGGAAAATAACCTGAAGCACATCTTTAAATGAATGTCAAAATGATATGAGTGACTTTGCCACAGCTTGCCGAAAATTTAAAAACAAATATTCCGTTAATATTACAGAATGTGTTTGTCGTATTTGGGATTTTAAAGGTTTTTAGGTTCAACAAGCTACTATACATGTGTCTTAGTCCTGTGACTCCTGTGTGTCTCCTGCAGGTCCAACCAGCTGGAGGACAAAATCACTCTGATCAAAGGCCGCATAGAAGACATCAAGCTCCCCGTGGAGAAGGTGGACATCATCATCTCAGAGTGGATGGTCAGTACGTAGTTACACACATAGAAACATGCTGTAGCAGCTCAACAATGACAACTTTAACCCTATGAACCCGAAAACCCTCCCGCAGGTTTGAAAATAACATCTTTTTTTTTTTTTAATTGCTAAAATGACACAAAATTCAGATATTTCCTTAAAATCACTTTTTTTCTACATGCCTTGATTAAACATTTACAAAAAGTCAACAGTTTGCTCTAACCAAATTCTGTATAAAACTAAAATATTTGCACTCCTTGACACCACAGGGAAGTCATGACTGACTCAGCTGCAACCAACAGTTGCATGATAAAAATTCAGGGACTTTTCAGCTGAACTGCAGGTCGTGTTTACCCAGAGCAAACAGGAAACTAGTATGGAAACAAATGCAGGTAGTAAAATATCTATAGTATATAGAGCCACCACTTTTTCCAGTTTTGGTAACACCTGTGGGTCCTTCTGAACATAATTTACATGTTGGTTCCAGGTTTAAAAAAATAAAGCAAACAAAATTAGATAAATAATCGAAGAAATTCAACTTTACTTTTTTTTGTTTTGTTTTGTTTTGTTCTTTTTACGATTTATGGTTTTCTTGTGTTAAACTGCACAAACAATATTTTTGAGTTCTGTCTGCTTCTAGTCATGAGTGTGCTGTTTCCATAGAGGTGTAGGAAGTTATATCACAAAGAAAAATGAATCCACAGTGAGAAAATATGTAATGGGAGCCCAGAAACTACTCCGAGTTCAAAGAGTTAAATAATCCACTTGTTAAATTCAGTTTTATTAGGTCTTAACTGCTGCTCTGTGACGCCAAACTTACTACCAACAAACTCCAAGCATAGTGCATTGAGGATCCTTAATACACAGCAGGAAAAGCCAGATGTGGAGAGCACCGATCCGTGTCTTCTAAAATATGAGGAGTGGTTGAGCTCATTGATGGAGACGTGACACGCCAGATTATATTTAATTCATCATTTCTTCTCACTATGATTTTACTATTACTGGTCTTAGAATATATTTACAATTATTGCATCTTTTTTGGCCAATAAACTTGCTTTCGTGTGGTGTGATAATATCTTCCCACTTATTTTCCATCCAACACTAGAAGTCTTTGAATGCATAATACGGAGCTAAATTTCAGATTGGTCCTTTACCAGCCAATGCGCGTGGAGCATCCAAGGTACCGGCGGGAGTGACGCATGTTTTAAACATGGCTTAAACGGGGCCAAACTCGGCCATGAAGCTCCTCTGAATGCCTAACCAGGAAGAGCAGTCTTCCTTCCCCTTGATGGCCATTTATCAGGGAGATTCTCTGTGGCGATACAGGCGGGACGGCCAAAGTTGAACGCACCGCTGAAGTCATCCCTAATTCATGAGCATCCCGTATCTGTCCCCCCTCCGCCTCCCCCATCCATCGTGAAACCCCAGGGTCACGAGCAGGGGTCGCCAGCCAGAGCCTTCCCATCCTCTCGCCGGGGAAATTGAAATTCGGCGGCTGACGTGCCGGTGGAACGGTGAAGGATAGGGGGCGTAATCTCTGATGACACTGGCTCACAGAGCGCTAATAAATCTAAGAATTCTCCAGTCACTTCTCATCAGGGCAGCGGTGGCAGACATTTCTCAGAGTAGCTGGGACTTCAACGCTGCCCTCCAATCTGCCCGTGTGAAAAAAAGGAAAGATGACACTCGTAGTTGACAGGAGTAGCCTTTCTGGTCAGTGTAAATGGCTTGAGACTGTGGTCAGCTTTAATGGTCTTGTCTCACATCCAGGTTGTGTCTTATTATCTGACAAACTCCGCAGATGTCGTAGCTCCGGTCTGTAATTTTTAATTCTCATTTTTTTTTGCTTCAGTTACATTTTCATTGAGAGCATGTCATATAGATCACTGGTGCTGCGCTCTGAGGCTTTTTTTTTTGTTGTTACAGTTACATCTTTGGCTTTCTTGTTGAATTTTTCACACCATTGAATGTCTTAGTTTGCAAAAAAGGTCTTCCAAATATTTGATCTAATCCAATTTTTTCTCCAGATGCAGTCAGTGTAGCAATGTGAAAATAAAAAACAGATTCATTGTCATCCATTTTCTCTCAAAAATAGTTAGAAGTTATTTGAAGAGCTGCTGGCGACAGACTGCACACTCCAGCAAGACGACTAACTCTGTGGTATTGAATTGGATCGCGTTTGCTCACTTACTGATGGAAAAAAAGCCAATTGTTTTGTTCAAACAGTGAGCTTTAGTCTGACTGCTCTGTAGACAGGTGCTCCAGGTGTTCTTCTGTTGTATCTCTGATAAAATAACTGATATGCTGAGCATTTGTTGCCCCCAAATGTCTGAAATCTCCACAGTTAAATGACGGTTGCCATTAATATGGGAACAACAAATCGAAAAAAACAAAATTAATTACTTTTGTCTCACTCAGTTTATGCAGCTCCTTCCTGCGTTATATCCAAATTTCTTTCATCAACTGTAAGTCTGGCAAATCATGAAAACATAAACCACATGAAACTGGTGTATCTTTGTGGTTTTATTCATGGTTTACCGCCTTGATCACACATGGTTTTGCTACAAGCCTTTGTGTCGTCTGCTCAAAATGCTGGGAATCAGCCCACAACAGAGAATGGCCAAATTGGGTCAAAGCAGCGGCAGAGACGCACATGAGGGAATTCTGTAACTAAGAATAGATTAGCAACCAGCGTTTCTTTGGAACAGAGAAGCTGCACGCTTCATGTTCCTTCCTAAAGGAATGTAGGGTTGATTAAATAAAAAGGGACGAAGGGGAAAGATAACTGAATTGAAGGATCAGAAATAAAAACTGAGTACTTTTCACGGAGCTACACTTCAGCAGGTTTTGGTAGAAAGTAAGGTCTGTTGTCACCGAACAGTGTAATTAATCTAAAAAAAAAAAAAAGAAAGAAAAGGAAGACAAGCCCAACATTCATCTATCATCATGTTCACTGGCCTGGAAAGTCGTCTGTATTGAGTGGAAGGCATTCAATGAAAAATCTGTAGGACTTTGAAAACGTATTAATTTCAGAGCGAGTGTAAATGAATGCATCAGTGGTACGAGTGGTCAAAAAGTCCAAATGTAATCCTGTTTTATTATGAAATAACTAGAATTGTCAACTAAAGAATTTCATCTATGTATGCTTTCAGACACGGTTATATTTAAATACCTCACTGAGATGCTTAGACCTAGACCTATGTTAAACTCTTTTTCTTGTGTTTAAAGGAATGCAATGATTGATGATTATTTAACATCTGTGGTGTGTTCAATACAGTCTATCCCAAAGACTAAAGAAAAACAGGGAAAATGCTTGTCTACATCTATTAAAGAAGTCGTCCAACAATCTTCCATCGAAAATCAGGATCTCAGTGATAAATTAATAAAAATTTAACCAGCAAATTAACTTAAGTGACCAGCCTGTCTCATCCAACTCTTGACCAATCCAACTCTTAAGGCAGGAAATAAGTAAACCCCCCCAAAATGTGACAGTTGTATGTGAATTACAGTCTAGTTTTTGCAGCTGTCTTTACAGCTACTGATCTCTCTGTCATTGCAATAGATATTAAATAATATTATGTAATTGTGGAAACCTTTTGACTTCTATATTAATCACATTTTTGAATTTCCCTTCTGGGATAAATAAAGTATTTTTCATTTCATTCGTTCATTCATTTTCATAGGTGCTCTGTATTTGACAGTTACAAATTTTTATCATCTTTAAGTGTCATCTTAACCCAACGAAATGATATCAGAAACAACAGATGTCTAAAATAAGAGACCAGAGGGTTTAAAGCAATACTGTAATAGTGTGTCCGCAGTGTGTCATAAAAGCATTTTGGAGTATCGCATAAAAAAAAAAAGTTACCGACCCAATTTTACAAAAAAAGATTTTACGCTCACTTGAGGTAGTTTTAGACTGTTTGGAACAAGAGTTAATACACGCTGAGGGAAGCACCTTTTTTTGAATTCTAATGTAATAAACGTTTACCAATCAGCTGTTTATTTTGCCGCCATTGTCCCCCGACGGCATGAAACATGGTCAGTACCAGCTGACATTAAAGAATATTTACATCTTTCCCAATTTCAAAACAATTTTATAAGACTTCTCTCCATTTTTTTTCTCCTAAGACAGCTAAAGTTTTGTTAAGTTTCCTTTTTTTTAAAAATTTCACAACAGTGGCCTCTGTGGCCACAGATGGTAATTACAGGATTCTAGTGGAGTAAATCCTGCTGGCCTCGAAGTTCTGACAGTAAAAGGTACTGGAACGCAAACAGAATCATCATCTCAATACAAACCCGTAATCTTACTGTCCATAGCAAGAGGCAACGTAGTGTTACAAGTGCTACACAACTTTGGCACCACCTTCCCAACATCAGGATGCTGAATCATCAACAGCAATTAAGAAAAATGTAATTCCCCACACCAAGTTTACCAGTATATAGTAAAAGCCAGTATTATCACTTATTTTACCAGTTGAATAAACAGTGCTGTTGCTTCCCATTGAGATGTATAGTAAGAGACTGAACCTCTGTTGAGAAGGGCTGCAGAAGCAAAGTAAAACAACATAAAACAAGCCGGATGATGTTACTTACACGTCCAAAAGCAAGAAGACCAGCTCAGCATAAGTCTTGCAGTCGAGTCACGCCACATATGTTTAACCAAATCTGAAAAAGGCTCCTATCTGACTCCTCTCAGTCATATTCTATCATAGATGTTCAGTTGGTGCAGTTTTGCTGTGGAAATTATGATACATCCCATGATAGTGATGCTCAAAGTTGGTTTTACTAAAAATTGTGCTGAACAGAAATACAATTTTGGCTTTAGATTGGATTTGGTGTGAATGTAAAATTGATTTGGTTGCAGATTTTAACAGATCTAACGTGTGTTTTTCTTTTGTGAAAATTTCATGTCCATGTCGTGTACTTCTGAAACTATGAGGGCTGAAAAATGCAGATAAAAATTCTCAAAATGAAACGCAGGAAATTTCAGTTTGCTGTTCTCA